AACGACTGAATGAATTAACTATCGCACAAACAAACGGACGAAAGAAATGAATTGATCAAGAATGAACCGGTATGACAAGAGCTTCTTTGAATCCGATATCAACAACGAGTGCGTTCGATGCGGCGAAAGGGAATGTGGCGAGTAGATGTGAGGGTGCGAAGAGCACCGATGGCGCATCGAGCGCTTCGAACAATGCTCGTGCCATCAGGTGACGACGTTCGGTCGGCTCGAGAACACTTTCAACGATCACAATACGACGATCTTTGGCTACTGTCAGCAGATTCCTTCATGATGCAAATATTCATTCATTTATTTTGGATCACTTTCGAACGCTTGCATTTGTCATCGCTAACAGTCAGTCAGCTATTGCATGAAAATACTCGTTCGTCTTTTTTTCATCTCCATTACATTTTGGTATACTTCGATCGTGAAATATTTCAACTCTCACTAAACCATCATTTTGCGAAGGCGAAATTTTGAGATAACGACAATATAAATATAAATCGCAAAGAGAGAATGAATCAATATCAAACAATATCTCGTGATCTCATTTAACTAAAACAGCAGGCTTAGAGCAAACTAATAATCCACATAGGTGCACACTAATACTTCACCTAATCAAATCGCTCATTGTTTCGAATCGTAACGCCATGGTATCTGCTTCAGAGGATGTCATCGGCTAACTTCGTATTGCTCAAGAACAACATTCATAAATAACAAGCTAAGAGAAATCGCTTTCGAATATTCACCTGAAGAATACTTGCTTGAGAAATTTAACGAGGGTTCGATATTGTTCCTTAGGTGTCATTTTCGTGTCGAAGAGATATACTGGCGTTGGTGTGCCATCGATCAGTTGCGTTCTAACGATCGCTCGAGGCACGAATTCACCCGCATAACCAACCCTCAACAATCAAACACCGTCACAATGTATACTTGTAACATATGAAGAATATTGCCGCTGCTCTACGCAAACTGCACAACAAACAATAAATAACGATGCGATAAATCCAACCTATTGGTAACACGGCAACGGAGTTTCAAAATAGAATAATATTCATCGCCCTGATCATAAATAAGCAAATGAGAAAATGAATTCAGTTCAATTCAGTTGCTGAGTTGATCACAATTTGCGACACGTTTCAGTGAGATGCTTGCTACTTTCACGAATGCAATCTTAAACTTGTTTTGCACTCCACTCAAAACTGACTGTCATAACTTAAAATTCAGACAGTGTAGAGCAAACAGCTCACTTGGTTAATTTAGTGCCAATTTCGATGACAACAGGTTGGCGATTATCAGCTCCACTAACACCCAACGACAACGCATCGAATCGAGACGCAGTGGATAGCGAAGACACCGAGCGACGTCCAGATGAACGCGCTGTTGACGAACCTGAATGTGACATCACCTCTCTTATCTAAGACCCGCGAATCTTGCCTAAATTTCCTATCACTGCTCCCAAAACTCTGTTCCGCCTCCTGAAAACACACAGGAGCATCTTGAACGTTTGATGTGGAGTATAAATTGTCCGTTATTAATTCATTGGGATCATATTCATTCGAACG